CTAGAAGCTGATTTCAATAGTACTGTGTTAGGAGCGTATATATTTTAAGTGTACATGTTTCCTCTTATCAATGTATGTGTCAAATTCAGTTGTGTATTTCCGAAAAAATGTAATACATACAAGTTACAAATCATCTTCCAAATCTTTTCTTCAAGTGTGAAAAAAACATTTTCACTTTCAGAAATATAAGAATCTTCACAAGCAAATAATTGTATGCTTCATTAAAGTAATTTCCAGGGCCTACTCCAAGTAATTGTAAAATTCAAGCTGCATATATATCGAAGGCACCTTGAAAATCTTTTACAGATTTTTACATTTATTACATCATACATTTTTTTCCTTATTAAGAAATAAATATGAAGTGCGGGCGGTTTATCTTAATATTGGGATGTCGTTGTGGAAGGCAATCAGGAATATTTTTGTGACTTTGTTGTAATCACATAAAAGAGCCCCATGCCTGCAAGTGTATCAGAGGATGTGATATTGCAGAGGATGAGGAACCAGTTGGTTGAAGTTGATTTAATAGTGCTAGATGTTAGACATGTCATGCTGTGAATCTGAGTGTGTACTAATTTCATGTGACGGTTGTTTGGTCAGACCAAAACATAAAACTGAACCATAGAGTACACCATATCAAATACTGAGATTCTTAATGGAAGAGGTTTGAATTATGTTATTCCAGGTTTGAATTTTGTACACAGTATTTTCCAAATGTTTATTTAGAGTCAATTTGTTATTGAGAGTAAGTCTAAGGTATTTTGGAAATTTATTATGATATACACATAGTCTTCAAAATTAATATTCACTTCAACATTGTCAATTTTGTAGGCTCTCAGCTGTTTGGGTGATGCCGCATCAAGGGCTGTGATGCAACGTTTCAACTGTCATATCATGATCATTGGGGATGAAGTGCCCTGGCTCTCCAGCTCTGAAGAAGATATGATGGTTGAAACATCTGCATCATTGCTCCAGGTGCAGCATCACCTGGACAGCCAAGAGCCATGACTCTGGTCGCAGAGCCATACAATTGCATTGCCAATTTTATTATTTAAATGAAATACCAGAACTTGATTTTTATCAGTATTTGAGTGATGTGAATTTCTTGAGTTATGAAGAACAGAAAGGTTATTTCAGAGGGTTTCTTGTTTAATGTTGCCTGAGATTTCAGAAAATTATATAACATGTTTTCTAATAAACTTATTTACTACAATTAAAGTAGTCTGCATTAAAGTTTTAGTCACAGCATTTCGCACTAAGCATATCTACCAGAAAATCATATATTGATGAAAGTTTTATAAGGAGCCACTTTTTGTTACTTAGCCATATGCAGCAGCAAAAATACTGCGTAGAAAATGGGGTTTTGGAACAGCTAAAATTGGCTATTCTGAAATAACACACATGAAAAATTGATGTTTCTTTCTTCCTCATTGCATGATGTTATTGGTGTCATAAGCAGTGACACAGTTTTAGAATTTACTTGTATTATCACACATGAGAAATTGCGCATTGACATAAGTAAATATTGGCATTTGTTTTGTGAAAATCAGAACCAATTCATTGTTTCTCTTTTTTCCCCAAGTTCCTGGCTATCTAATGAAACCATTCACACCTATCACATGACCCAAGGCTAGGAAGTTTTCCAACAATTTATGTGTATTTTCGAAATTAGTAATCTAGATAAAATGGTGTTAATAAATAGTAACCCAGGTTTTTATTTCTTCACTTTCAAATTGATTGTAATATTGAAACAATGTCCAGAGACAAGATATTAATTAGTTTCTATTAATTCATTTTGAAATTAAGGAGTATAGCTATTTTCAAATAATATGTTTTGTATTTCAGTATATGGTGAAAATGATAATCCTATTTTTTATTTAATTAGGGTATACTTACACAGCACAAGTACTGTGTATTGACAGGTTCTGTGAAAAGTGTATGGTCTTTTAGTTTTCTGCCTTTCATGCGTGTGAGTGGGCATGTATCAGCAAACAATATTTAATATCAGAGCTATTTATGCTTTATCTTTTCTTGTGGTAGTTAAAGTTTTCTCAAAGTGAAGTGGCTCCAATTTATAATGAGCAAATTTTTCCAGATCTCAGCTTGAGGGCACTCTGGGAATTCAAGTAGAGGGAGAAAGTCGACAAGATCTCTCTATTGACCGAAATTCAGATCCTCTGTTGGAATCCAAAATCAAAGAAGCTGCAAATAAGGAATTGAAAGAATTGAATGAAGAGAAGAGAAAATCTGCAAGAAGAAAAGAGTAAGTTTTGCATTTTTCTGTAAATTCTTAAAATTATGGATGTGTATTTCTCTATAATTTTGAATTTATATTTCTCTTTATCTTGAAAATGACAATACATCAGATTTTTTATAATATTAATTTTATTTTTCCATTTTGCAAATTGTTTCTTTTAAGAAATACTTTTCTTCTTTATACTATGATTTGTGCCGTAAAATTTGCTTCCATTAGATAATTTCAGTATGTCATTCTGTTATTGAGTTAAATATTATCATTTGTATAATATGGAAGTATCTCCATTGTATATATTGAAGGATTAAAGTATTATTTTTGTATCAATTGGACGTTTTACCTACATTTATGAACAATTGAGAAATTTACAAATAAATTATTCAAATATTTTTTGAAACATTTATATTTCTTGTTATTTTATTTTTATCAAATTGAAATGTAATTAATTTATATGTTACCAGATGAATTAAATTAAATGTGTTTTCTGAAGTGTTTTCTTTCAATTTTTATCAATCAGCACCTCTACTACAGTAGGGTGTAAGTGTTAATTCAAATTTTACAATGATCTCATTCACTTTTTCTTTTCTTTTTTACTAGATTCATCATGGCAGAACTTCTGCAGACAGAGCGAACCTATGTAAAGGACTTAGAAACCTGCATTAAATTCTTTTTGGAAGAGATGCAAGCCAGTACAAATGCACCACCTGCCATACAAAACAAGGAAGATATTATCTTTGGCAATATGCAAGAAATATATGAATTTCACAATAACGTTTTCCTAAAAGAACTGGAAAAATATGAAACAATGCCAGAGGATGTTGGCCATTGTTTTGTTACTTGGGTTTGTTCTCACTAATATACTTGATTGAATAATATTTATAAAACTAAAAGTTTTTCATTGTTAATTTGTTTACAATGTAATCTTATAACCAATATACTTAGTTTCATTGCTCTTGTGCACTTTCAATATTGAAAACTTGTGGTGCTACAACAGCAATACTTTCTCACATTTGTAACTTTACCTATTTTCAAAAATTCAGTGTTATATGAAAATGAGACATGTGCTACTATTTTAAACATTCTTTGCTCTATCTGAGGAAAAAAATGTGATAAAAAATTGGGGGCCATTTTTGAAAAAATTTCAAAAATGTTATGGCATTATGTTAAGTACCCCCAAAAAACAAAATATCCATTTCAAATTCATAGTCACTCGAGTTTGTCCAGATCGATCAGGGAAATCAGTGTTGATGAAAATTGCCTGAACTGCTCTGGAGGTTCCATTGAGGGCACTCTTGACTGACTGACTGACAGACAAATGGCCAGACAGATGGATGGACAGTCTTTTTGCCATCAACCAATTGTTGAGTATCTAGGACCTTCAAAACATGGATTCTGATTACTCAGTGTGTTAGAGGAAGTAATTTACTACATACAGGAACAAGATTTATCCACCTTTTCGATATCCAGGCCCCATAATACAAGTTTTTGTCTCGTAAAATCACTGTTTTAACTTCAGCTTTACAATAATTTTTATATTACGTACATAGTGTGTGGGGAAGAATAAACTGATTCATTATTTTACTATTTCCTTGAATTTGAGTCCAGAGTTAAAAGTAAATTGCCCTCTTTAATGATTTGAGTGTTCACTATAGTAATATGATTAAATGTTCTCGTTTATGAAGTATTGAAACATGTTTAGAATAAAAATATTAATCTGATACTGATTGGGTCATTTATTTTTTTTATTGCAGGCCCAAAAATTTGACATGTATGTTAAATATTGCAAAAACAAACCGGAATCAAATTCTATGCTGGTCCAACATGGAGGAAGTTTCTTTGAGGAACTCCAGAAAAAACATAAAGTAGAACATCCTATAGCTGCATATCTCATCAAACCTGTACAAAGAATAACAAAATACCAGCTTCTTCTAAAAGATTTGCAATCTTGTTGTGAGGAGGGTCAAGGAGAAATAAAGGTGAGAACCAGGTGTATGTATGTATTTTGCAGCCGTATTATTTTGTATGTCCGGAACAAATGCTGGTAACCCTCAGACAGAACTATTTATTTCTGTTATTTCTGCTTTATTTCTTTGCTGTTGATTAAAATCACACAATTAATTTAATGTGTTATGAATTTACAGGATGGATTAGAAGTAATGCTTAATGTGCCAAAGAAAGCTAATGATGCTATGCACCTCTCTCTCCTAGAGGGTTGTGATGTCAGTCTTGATAAATTAGGAGAAGTGATTCTGCAAGACACTTTCCATGTGTGGGACCCCAAGCAAATTATTCGCAAAGGACGGGAACGCCATATATTCCTTTTTGAACTCTACCTCCTTTTCAGTAAGGAAGTGAAGGATTCCAGTGGCAAAGCAAAGTATTTGTACAAGAATAAGCTAATGGTAAGTCTCATTCTTGTTTTATTGATAATGAAAATTTTCTTGCAATCAGAGGCGGATCTAGCTGATCGTAGATTTTTCTTCAATAATAAACATATTTGTAATTAAATTTGAATTATTTTTGTAGTGTATATGTGATATCATATTATTTTTGTAAATAATTATTCTGACAATAAATTAATATTTAAATCGATTTTGCCAAATAAAATAAGGTGACAAATAAAAGTAGGCCTCTGGGAGAGGCCATGACCCCTGTGCCCCCCTCTCCCCAGATGCGCCACTGCTTGCAACCTTGATTTCCCTGGGGACTAGTGATATATTATGTATGATATTTTATGTATGATTTATTTTTACTAATTTGATATAAATTTTGCTTCAGACTTCTGAACTTGGAGTCACAGAGCATATTGAGGGTGATGAATGCAAGTTTGCTGTGTGGACAGGCAGGGCACCGATCTCTGATTATCGAATTGTTCTGAAGGTAAGAAATTGATGTGATATAGCATCTCACCTTATAACATTTTTTTTTTTTTCTTGAAAATTCTAAGATTACTACAAATTCAATGTTTTACGCTAATGGTTACTTCTAATTGCGAAGTACAAACAGCATGAAAATGAAAAAAAAAAAAATAAAAAAAATTGATAGTCTTGGCTCATGGGTGTAGGGATTATTGTGCTTTATGAAAAAGCTCTTATTTGTAGGAAAATTATAAAGTTGTTTCTAAGGAGTAAAAAATTATATTTCAAGTGAAGTAATGTTACATGAGATGTTGCATTCACTCTGGATTGCCGTTGCTAACAGTATACTGTCCCTACAGCAATTTCCAGACAGCCTGTCCCTTTGGGTTCTAGTTTCAGTTTGTGACAACAAAATGCTTTGGTTCAGGTTTTGAATTAGAAACTGTTCCAAACATTTTGTTTTTTGTCTTTTTGTTAAAACATACTGTTATTATATTACTTTTTTAAATTAAATGTTCCTGAAAGGTGTGGCCAATATTTGTTCAATATTTTCTAGAATTCTTGGGCATAAGTTTGATGAGTTAGAAAAATAATTGCCTTCCTTTTCTGTCTGAGACATCTAATAAGCCAAAGAGTGTATTTTATCTTTTAAAGGTTCTTCAAAAATGACTGAAAATGTGGACACTTCTTGTTTACACTGAGTCACTTCTCAAAACATGAAATCAGTGTGACAGTGATCCCTCTATCTTTCATTCAAAGTCAAAACCATTTTATTCAGTTACTGTTCCAGCAATATATTTAATGAAAAATAATTGTTTCACTATTGAAATAGAAATTAACTTAAGTAGGGACAGACAGTGTTAAAAAAATAACAAGTAAAAATATCAATAAGTTCTAAACTATGTATAAAAAGCAAGTAAAATCCAACATAATACCTGATGGATGATAAATCTGCAAGAATATATCTGAGAGATGTAAATAAAATGTAACACTGTGTCTATCAGATAATGCCATTTAACAGTATTATCACAGATTGATTGCCAGATAGATTGGATTACCTCTTGTTAGAAAAATTAAATTTCTGAAAAAATTGACTCCACAATAAGATCCTGAAAGATAAAATACAAGGTGATGGTAGAACATTTGAAAACTTGAAAATTATGGGACATCAATTTTAAGTTAATGCCCAAAAACAAAAAGTGCTCAATTGAGGAATACGAGAGAATGCTGAGGTCAGCCAAGATTAGTCTCTGTGCAGTGGCCCCTACCCCTAGGAAAGGGGATAAACTTGGGAGATTATAAACAGGAAAATATGCCACTGCTGCACCGCGCCTACTGCTGCCCACCTCATGCCTTCTTAACCATGTAATGCGTGCAGCTGCAATACATAATACTGTGTAATGTAGAGTATGGTATTTGAATCGTGCGCACGGACATAGCAAAGAAGTCGAGTTTTCTTGAGAACATATATTTTTGAAGGGAAATTGATTGCATCAAACATCTGAAATAACAATAAGAATCTGTGTGATGGTTTTTAACAGAATAGTTAAAGGACACTTTGTACTTGAATTATGTGCAAGAATAAATGAATTATTTTTGGTCTTCTATATAATTACTGCTATGGAGATATGACATATCGTTTCTTGTAACGATATTCATTGTTGAAGTAGCTTCTCTTAGGTCAACAGACTAACACAGTGCTTACTGACTGAAGGTACAATCAAACATTATTGTAAGGAGGAGAACTAATGAAATAAATAAATAATTTTAAGACATTGAACTTACTGTATTTTTCATTGTTTAAAAATAGTTATTAGATATTGTTTTGGAATGTTGACCTTCTTACCTCTTGTGCCTCCCAAGAGTCATGAGGCTGTAATCCACCACTCTTTCTTTTACTACAGAGGGTCATCAAGAGGAAAGTAACTAGTAAATTTAGATCACAATTCTTTTGGTGACAGTGTCTAAAACTTTTAATGAAGAGTTTTCTGGAATTAACCCCCCTGGATAATTGAATAATAGCCCAGGGAAAATCTCATTAAAATTTTAAATTTTTCTTGTTTATTTACTTTTATTTAAAGTATCAGAACCCATTACCACTATATTGTATTTAATAGTACAAAAACATACGGCATTATGATTATCTAAATTTTATTTTAAAATGTTGATTAAGTTACAAGAAATACATGTCATTCCAGTAGTCATGTAAATATAATATCCTTACTGGCTTTTACAGTCATTCTTGTTCCACAAAACAGTAGGGAATTTTTCATTTATTGTATTTATTAATTTCAACAATGCAGCTAAAGCTGATTTACAAAGACCATCATGAGCGTATGCGGGGTTGGGGGGTGGGGTGAAGCACTGCTCTCTCCCTATGAATCTTCAAACTTTTATCCACTCTAGATATCTATTATTCAGTAAACTATTCTTTACCTATTTTTTGAAATTAATTCTTATAAAATTAAGTCGTAGGGAACATTTCTCTTCCATTACTATGCACCGCTTGTACTTTAGAGTGCTTATTCACTGCCTTACGTACAGTGTAAACTGGTTACAATTAATGATGACAGAATGACTTAATGAATTATACTTATTGAGTGTTCACTGGATTCTTGTTTCAGAAAAGAGGGGAGAATATGCATATATATATATAAGGATTTTCTGAAATCCACATGAACTTTTGATAGATTTACAATTAGTTTCTTCAATTATATTTGAAATGCTTTTTCTGTTTTTGTTGGTTAAAAATGTGATGTTAATGATTTGGTTTTGATTTTTTATTTATATTTTTATGATTCCTTTTTTTTAAGAGAGTAAAAATTGTTTTTATCAATTTTATATTACGTAAATTTATTGTTTAAAAAAGTAAATTTTCATTATATCTTTTAGTTTTTAATTATTTAGCTTATAGAATTATTTTTTTAAATTTATTGTTGTCTGCTTAATTATTTATTGATGGTTATTTTATGTAATTATTATTATTGTTATTAATATTTTGCTTATTACTTCTTCTTCCTCCCTCAAATTCAGGCTTCATTCTTGCTTATCAAGAGTCCACTGTCATATATCACTGCCATTTATTTTATATACATCTCTATCTTTTGTATATTACATAATGTTACACAATTTAAATGCAAGCAATTAAAAAAAAGAAAGATAATAAAAGTGGAGAAATAAAGCCAATAAAAGTATCAATTGTAGATGCGAGTGGAGGTATCAAAGCAGTAGTTACTATCAAATGAAGAGCCGGAAATACTGTTTAAGTATTTTATTTTTTTATTTTTTATTTTTATTATTATTTTATTTTATTTTTTTTACTCCTATAATGGAACAAGCACTACCTACATAAAATTTATATTTTCATGATTTACAGTTCTTTTGTATTCAGTATTATCAACATTTTCACTTATCTTCCTTGTGTTTATGTCCTTTATTGTAGTTGTATTTTAATTTGACATGAATTAGAAAGATTTGTTTAATTTCTTTTGAGATATTGAAGTTGACACCGCTTTTTTACTCATTATTTTGTGATGTTTGAATATATCAACTTAATTACAGCTATTGATTGTAAATGTTTTGTCCATTGTATTTGCAAGTTATTAAAGTTCTTAATATACATTTTATGAGTTACATTGGCTTATCATATGTTGTTCTTGTATTATTTTTATAATCATCACTTATATTTTTTCTACAGGCATCATCTCTGGATGGTAAACAAACATGGGTAAAGAAACTGAGAGAGGTTATCCAGGAGACTTATTTCAGCACTGCGCTACCTCTCAGTATGCCTAAGAGTCCTGCCAAACTGAAGGCTGGCAGTCAGCGATCAAGCAGGTATGTGCAAATGCATTTTTTAAATAGGTGTTTGATTCTAAATATTAGTTGTTGTTTGTCATTGAAAGTTGTTTTTCTAGATGCAGAAGGTTTTTCCCTTAATGTAATATAGGAAAGAAATGTGATGGTTCTATTTGTAACAATAAGTACTTCTGAAGTATTTGGCTCATGGTGACATGCTAGCTTTCTGTGGTGTGATCCAGAGTTTGATTCCTTGCCAAGACAAAAATAGAGCATTTGCTGTCGATTACAACCGTCCCTATTTCTCTAGCTGTATGATGAAAGAAGAGCTCAGGCATGCCAAGTATGCTAGATACAGTGAAGGGAATAGGTCATGCTTGCCACATGTCTCCCTTAATCCCAGGCATGGAAACAAATAAAAATAGGGCTCATCCCTGGGAACATTGCTAGCTGTCAAAAGTGACTCTAATATGCGAAATACAGACATACATGCATAGAGAAATACGAACACTTTTTTGGAATGACAAATAAAAATGAAACTATTTTCAGAAAAACGTGAAAATTTATAAACGTTTCGTATTTTTGGTAACTCTTCTTGTTAGTAAAATCTCGCAATTTTCAACATTTAATGCTGTCTTCACTGTGCTCGAATGCAATACATTCTTACAAAAGGAGTACCTGGGAGCTTACGGGTCATAAGTTGCATTCATTTTTTTGCCTTCTACAGTAGAATGCTTTCATCAGGTTAAGCTCTACTCCAAGGACCCGTCTGCGGTGTCAAATAATGTTCATTCACTCTTTTGCCGAGAGTGTTTAATGTTCGCTAAATATAGACTGGAGATGAGGCCCCAAGGGCCCTCTAATAGACCCATCTCTCTCTTTTTGGGTCTGCTGAACCAGGTGCGCATCAACGGGGAGGGAAATGAGAGAAATCCCCCCCCCCCTAATATTTTTCTGTTACTATAAATTTTAACTTGTCACGAATCTTGGATGCAAAAATATTTTCGGACTATCGAATAAAATGGTATCGCAGCACGAGCTGAGTGTGGCCTGCGACATTTTACAAAATCTGTAATAACGCAGTCGACCAAATCATTTCTAATTTCCCCTTCCGAAATTTGTCTCTGGATCCGCCCCTGGCTTAACTCAGTTGCTCATCGAGCGGCGGCGGTCGGCCTGCGTTCCGCGAGCTCAGATATTCGCCTGCGAGCTACGCGGTGCCGGGGATGGGATGAACGTCTCTGCGCGACAGGGGAAAGGGCTCTGGGAGGGAGTGCAGGACCTTTGAATGCGTGCACTGATCGGGTCCTGAGCGCTTGAAACACCAGGGGTAGCGCGTGTTCTCTTTCACTTTGCGTCCTTCCTAGGTGTTGAATGCGACAGTGTGCGCGATCATGCAAGACGACGCACGAATAGAATTCGAATGCAGTATACTGTAATAGGTTTAGCTTAGACACAGCGACTAGATCTAGGAATTCTAGCACATGATGGTAATATGAGAAATGTAACGTGGTTCTATGCGTTTCAAAGTATTTCAGAGAATATCATACTAGAGTAAATTATGCATGTCTGAGAAAAAAAAGTGTAAAACTTATGTCTACCAAAAAGACATGTAGAAGTGACGAAGATGTGAAAGTTTTCTTGAATAACATTCTTTTTAGAATTCTGAATTTTTTTAAATGTATATCTTGAAAGAAATAATGGTAATGAATAAAATGAGAAAGTTTTTTTATATTATCGAGAGTAGTTTGTTATCTTTCAATTAAATGCAATATAACTGATTTTTTATCACGAAATTTTCCAAAACGTGGTTGGTAGGCCACTGGTGATGTCGCGACTCTTCAAATTTGAAACGGATCATTTTATTTGTGGGTGCAGATTTTACGACCCATTGTCGACGCCTTTCTATTTACACGTATGAAATATAACTTTGTGTCAAGATACTCTGTAAAGTTAGAGTTTTGGTTGGCCCTTCTGAAATCGGGATCCTGGAGCGCGTCCGCTGTTAATTCCGCCTCTGTCTTAAGGTCTTATTGTTTTCATTTATCCTTGGTCAGTGTTTCAAACGATGTGATCAACTGACAGAAATGAGAAGCTTTTTGTATTATTTTCGGCAGATCGTAGCATAGTGTTCAGCACTGATATAAATAAACTTACTCTACCTTAATCTGTTGCTAGTACACAAAGGTTGCGGACCGTTAACACGGTATTCTGAGTTCCAGATGCTTTAAATATATATGAGCGTAAACAGTAATGGAAGTACATTAATGTAGACTCCGCAGACTTGGCAGACTCCGTTTGAGTGGGTTTCATCTTCTTTCACACCTCAGGTTTGAAGATTTTAAGTGAATTAGTATTGAAACCACTGTGTTTTCGAATTGAAACCACCTTGCTACCGTAACAAATATACTTGGAAATAAATAAATTCCCTTGATAGCACAAACGGCTTTACTAACGCAGCAAATTCAACACTCGGAGCAGATCACCTCGCACAAATGCTAGAAATGTTTGCGCAAGTTGGTGCGCGCAAATTCGGCAAGTGGCATTCATTAAGATTAGAATTGATGACGTTATGCAAATGGGAAAGCGTAGGTTGTGGTCGTAGAGCATACCACGTCACTAGTTGACGCGGTAATTTAATTTAAACAAATTCAAAGTAGTAAACTGTTGAAAAGCACTGAAATTGTTTCATTTCACATTTCGATAATCTCGACTACTATTCATTGGCTTGCCTTAAGTAGTAAGTTCTGATGCGTCATTTTCCTCAATCAAACTACAAATCGGAAGGAAAAAAAAATTAAAAACACGAACGGGGAAATCTCGGAAAAGTCAGGCAATGTCAGCCCTAATAATTGTTTACTCACTGTCATTAAACCATCGGCCAAAGATGCTTGTATAGTGGTTAACTTTCTTGGCGGGCTTGGGCGTGTCGTTGGCCTTGTCCTTCCTGGAGTGCTACAGCCGCAGGGCCGAACCCTTCGATTGGAGGCCAAAGGCCGCGCCACGCCATTGCGCTATTGATCAGCCGGAAGCCTACGCAATTCCGGCCGTCCGCTTATTTTCGGGCGCGTCGTAATTGGAGAGTTTCTGGGAAACCTGGCGGCTACCGGCCAATCCGACGCCATTCGCCCGTCGCGGTGCTGCCTTGGCGCCGTTTCTGCCCCAACGAGGACTTGCCTGGTTTCGCGTAGGGATGGGAAATAGTCTGGAGAGCGAGACTCTTGAGATTCGAGTCACAGGTCAGGAAAATGATACTTCTAGGGAAAATTGCACATATTGTACTGCCCCTATATGTCACTTAGTTTTTTTAAAATTATTTTTCGACGACAAATAAAGTAAATACATTTATTAGTAGATAATTAAATAAATAAGCAACTTGTTTCACCCAACAAGTTAACTCCTAGTTGTAATAATATCCAATAACGAAAGTCGTTCATGGAAAAAGCATGTATTTTAGGTGGTCTTAAAACGGCTGATTATTATTAAAAATATTGTTATTGTTATTATTATTATTATTATTATTATTATTATTATTATTATTATTATCATCATCATCTTCATCATTACGTCGAAATGCAATTTACACAGATGTGACGTTTGGGGAGGATTGAAACTTTTCTGAAGCAAACAGTGAATTATCTATAGTATATCATTAATTATCCTTGGAAACGCTGGGAACTCGGACGGCAACCATGATCGAGACGGGGTTCCTGCACCCAGTTGCATTTCGTCGTTTCGCTATTTTGAACCCATTTTCAATTTTCTGCCACTGTGTTCAAACCTTGCCGCTCCCCCCCTTCACCCTGCTCCTCTCGGCGTGCTCATTCTGCGCCACTGTCGCCACTCGAGGAAGCGCCTCTTCACGCGATTACTCATCTCAGCGACCCAAAGGTCCGGAAGCGGGGGGTCGGGCGGGGCTCAAGAGATCGTTACGGCAGAGGAGTGAATTCCAAAAAGGATGGGTGGTCTAGGAAGTCGCAAGTGAGTTTGACGGCATGAAAGGCGGAGGATGATGGACTTTGCGTCCCCGCTCTGTTCATTTCAAGGAGAGGAAGAGAGGTTATTTTGCAGTAACTGAAGTTGCGCAGCGAGTCAAGGTCTGTTTCTCTGGGAGTTGATGCCCAAATGTCTCCTTTATCTAGAGAATTAATGTTAATTTGTTTCTCTGTGTTTTGCAACGAAATAAAATTATTTTTACCCGTTGTATAAAAACAGAATATTATAAAGAAAAGGGACGAAGGAGATCTGTGTTATTGCTTAAAAACTCAAGATGAAATGGATTATGTTCATTGAAAAAGTACTATATAATTTCAGTGCATAATTTATTTCAAAGGATATACTTTTGATAATACTCATTTCAATGTAGATAATCCGTATCGTATTTATCACTGGGGTTCGGATATTTAGGATTTTATAATTTTAGGCTTTCTGAAAAGTCGATTTAGCCCATTTTATGTATTTATCATGTTTTAAAACTGATAGTGTTAGGCTAAGGAATAATTGCAATAAATATAAAATTTTAATTACCAATTCATTGATTCAATGTTTTTACTTCTGAACTTGCACAAAATTCTTCTTGTAGAACATATCAAAATTTAAGAACAATTTTTCAACTTCCTAAATATTTCCTTCAAAATTAGAATCCTAACCAAAAAACACGTTCTTTAAGATATACTTGTAATAAACATCCATGATCAATCCCAAAATATCTTATGTAAAGGACTTCCTATTGTCTCAACACACACATGAAACGAGAAAAGGTTCCCCCAACGTTACATGAAGTCAATGGTGTTTATTTGATAGACGCCACTGCTTTCTGTCTCCGAGGCAGTTCTACAGGGATTTCTTCTTCTAAAATAACTCTATTTTATGTCTTTCACTTTTGCGTAGAATTTTCGAGAGCTTTGACATAATTCTTCGCTGAACGGGCGACGCCGCGTCGAAGGCGTGATGCAGGGTTGACGTTACGATCGTCTTGTCATGGCCTTCCTCAGGGCTGAAGAATCTGAATCCTATGTATTACATATGTTTAATATGTG